CATTTTGGGGGCCAAACAATCTCCTTTTTCAAAAGATACTGTGGGGGCACTTTTAATGCTAATGAGCTGGTCAAAAATTCTCACTTGAATTAGTGGTCTGCACCCCTATGCTATTCCTTTACATCCCTGGGTCATCTTGTGCCATAATTGTTAACCCAAGTTCATTCCTATTCATATTGTGGCGGGACGACTGACACCTTTTGTGGCGGACCAGCAGACTCTCCTGATTGGAGATGGAATCGACCTGGCCTAACCCTACAGATGTATTTATTTAACCTTACGCAAGAATGAGAGACTATCCAAACGCAAGGGGGATATAGATCAGTTAACGAATGGTGGACTATGCCTCCAATAGGGGCTGTTCGTTTGGTGGGAGTTTACCACGGCTCTGTGATTAAGTAATTGATTCTAATGTCAATAAAGGTTACAGTAAATGTCAATAGAAATGACACAGACTAGACTAAATCTCTCGGTGACCAGTGATTTCAAAGGCAATTATATGATTGGTTCGTCATTGTCAGTGCTTCAGTTATCCTTTATACACAAAAGCAATTAATTATGTACAAAATGACCTTCACGGGTAGGTAGTCCTCACTGGTCAACTGCACCACAAACGTGACTAGTTAAGAAACTTATGCTCAACATACACCAGGGTAACCCTCAATGACCAGGTAACCCTCAAGTCAATATAGGTGACCCTGAAGTTAGCAGGTAACTCGCGTAATTATACAACACAACGGTAGACTTATACAACAATAATCTCTACTGCCTTACCAAGCAACACAGTTCCCAAACTGCAACAAGGTTCGAGGTGACTTAGGTAACCCTCACCCACTTCAAGTTTTTATGAAATAACAAAGCGTCAATCAATTAAGAAGGCAATTATAATAGTCCTCAACGGACTCTAACGGAAACCTGCACCCAGTAAACCTCAACGAGGAAAGCAAGCTCTCAGACGAGGACTGCAATCAACCGTCGCTATGCCAACAAGTATGGAACAACGGCACGCAATCCCTCCAGTCTAGCTTCGCTAATTCCCCAATTAACTGGTTCACACGGGTTCCCTAATCCAACACTTCGTAAATAAACGGGACCTTCTAACAAGTCTTCGATAAGATCTGAAATAATCGGCAGCTCC